CAAAGTCAACTGGGATATCTCTGACTGAGTGTAAATTCTTGTCACCTTGATTTATGAGAACATACTGTATGCCAAATTTTTATTTGCTGATCTTCACAAACTAGGCAGAACATTGAGATTCCGAGAGAGAGAAAGACATGCATCGAGTTTAAGGCAGGATGGAATTATCCTCAGTCAAACAGAGAGAGACTCCTGTTGAATTAAAAGCGAGAGAATGGAGGAAACATCACAGGCAGGGGTTTGAAAGGTGAGCACAGGCTTTGATAGTCTGACTTCTGCTTCTGTTGTAATACTTTTCATCCTTTCAAAGAATCCTTTCAAAGTTGCAGGAAAAATTCTAAAGTTTGGGTCAGCTTGAGTTGGTTGATAATGTTGATGGCAGCTGTCAGTAACTTAATGATAAGGAAATACTCTGATAAAAAAAAAACTTGCATTTAACCCAGTAAATAATCAATTTTATGTATAAGAAGTCTTCATGAAATCCATTCACAACCCATTTGATTTCCACAATGTGAAAGGGGAAAAAATGTAGATTTCACTCACTGGGATCTGGATGGAACGTCCATGAACATCATGAAACGTGGGCCTTTTACACCTGAATAGAGCCTGACTTGAATGTGAGTTTGCAGTCGACATCCACTTTTGCAGAGGCCGTTTGACCTGGATGTGGAGGATAAATGATTATTGCACATACTGCTGTCAGGATTTTATTCAGAACAGACAGTAAATAGTTGCGAGAATAGTTGAGAAAACCTACAAAATTGAATGCATCAGTTTGAGTTGAATTAAGTTTTCTCAGCAATTCCTTTTTACAATGTATTTGGCTATTGGTTAACAATAAACCAATATCATTTGTTAAAACATGAATAACTGCAAATTAATTTACCTGTGTATTGTATATTCCTAAATATTGTATATTCCTTTTTTAAAGATTTACTCAAATTAATATAAAGTAAAATTCCATAAAATTAAATTGAATAATCATTACTTATTTGAATAATGATTGTTCAATTATTCAATTAAAAGGCTTATTGGCTTCACGCTTTTTTTTTAGAGTAGCCTACAATGTGTTTCAGTGTCCACTTGAGCATAAACAGAAACAATATTAGGCTACTATTCTCGATTAAAAAAAAATGAAAACATGCATGCTTATCAACAGGGGAATAAAGCTTCAATAATGTCTGCTGAGTTTTGATTAGTTCAGAGGAGCATATTAAAATATTTGAAAGAGAAATATAGATTAATTTGGGTCTCTGGGAATCTCAACAGAACACGAAGCTCAGCATGCGATATTAAAAATGTATTTCAGTCACACTTTCTTATTTCGTTCTCTTTCTAAGGTCACACCCTGAACTTTCTGTTTTCTAATCCCCAATCCACATCTCACTGACTCACTGCTCAGCTTCTCTCCACATGCTGTTACCTGGCCTGGTGCTTTGGCCACTCTTCGGAAGGGTGAGCCAGTGTCAGTCAACACGGTTGCTCGATAATCTTTATCCACTCACCGGCCCGTTCCAGCCCTGCACAGAGCAAGAAACAGGGGCAGACTGTAGTGTGTCTGGGGGGAAGATTTAATGCGCTCTCCTCCCGATTTCATTACTTCCTCAGACCAACATCATCTCTCTTGACCTTGAACTTTGCCGCTTCCCCCGCTGAGACCCCCACAATCCTGTGTGTGCGCATCAAGCTCATAGTCACATCTTTTATGTTTAGGTTTATGACACACACACTCAGTAATCATCTGAAACACGCTCTAGTCATCTTCCCATCAGCTCAATTTAGCCTTCACTGGCTGATGTCAGTGATGTGTAATATTATAGCTTATTGACATGGGTTCTCCATAATTTGACAATGTATCCATAACCATGAATGTTTCTTGACCTGTGTGATGGGGCTCTTTCTGGGTCAGCATAGCCTTGGTAAGTTCAGTAAGACCATAATAGGACCTAAAAGCTGGATTGAATATGAAAAAGAAAAAAAATGTTTTACAAGCTTAAGGGTAGTCCGGGCATGTTCTTGGTAATACAAGAGACTCGTTTACCATCGAATGCCCTTGTTGGTTTATGAACAGGAGCTTGTATTGAGTGTTCATCCACTGCCATCTTGTGGTCGGTTTGAAATCATGCACCACATTATTATACAATGTTGTTCACCCAAAAATGACAATTTCATCATTACTTACTCACTTTCAATTTGTTCTAAACCTGTATGAGTTTCTTTCTTCTGCTGAACACAAAAGAAGATATTTTAAAGATAGGTAACCAGACAGCTGATGGTAGCCGTTGACTTCCATATAGGAAAAAAAATACTATGGAAGTCAATGGCTACCACCAACTATCTTACCAATAAACAACAAATTAACGTTTTAAATAGTGTAACTGCAGCAGATACAACATTAGATTTACGGTACCTTATTGACAATACTGTTTAAAAAACAGTGGCATCGGCAGTATTTTGAAGCCTTGTGCGTATAGTAGCCTATACCATACCGTGCATCCAAACATGTCATTTAGATATTTTACTACAAACCAAAAATTATACCAGTTTAAAATGTTTACAAATTGTTACAGGTTTAACAAATGGTTTGTTGAGGAGCTGGATTAAATTATTGTCAGATGTATTACAATGAAGGAATATGAAAATGTTTCATGCTAATTTCATAATGAAAAAGTCTTATTTTAGATGAGTAAATATCCGATGTCTAGAATTACGGAACACTTTTTATGTAGCGTTCCATGTAGCTTTTTTATGTAGCGTCCCTCCCACCCCGGACATAAACTGTTTCAGAGACTCTCCCCTCTGGCAGGAGGCTGCGGTCCATCAGGACCAAAACCTCTCACCACAAAAACAGTTTCTTCCCGTCAGCAGCTCCCACACTGACACTACCCCCTTGCAAATTATACAAATGTCTCTGCACATGCAAATACTATTTTATCTCATATCATGTAGCCTACAAACTTGGCACATTGCATATATTTGTTTTTTATTTTTAATCTTTGTTGTTTTATATTTTTATATTATTGTCCATTCCATATTTATATATTTCTACATTTATTTATGTCGACTGTATGTTTTGTCTACGTGTAGCACCTTTGACCAAAGCAAATTCCTCGTATGTGTAAAACACTACTTGGCAATAAAGTTCTTTCTGAATTCTGTAGGCTATAGTGAAAGTCAATTCATAAAGTCTTAACATTTGCATGTTGTTTGGACATTGGTAGCCCTTGGCAAATGTACAGATATAAATAAATCTCTCAGGCCAGTGTTACAATAACATTATGGGTTGAAGTGGGATACTGTCATGTTTTAATACTGCGTTGTGCTGTGTTAAATGAGTGCGCAAAAGCTATCATGGAAATCTGAAAATTTCACTCCAGGGAAGAGTTGTAACTTAGATCCATGGCCATTTAACAAACTTGAATAAATTCCATTACAGGTCCGTCCTACTAACGAAGCTTCCATTTTCTCCCTTATATGAATCTTTAAGCAGGAAGGTGGTGGTGAACTACGTTTCCCCAATGATAAGATCGACTATCGATTATGGCTGTGTGGTTTATGGGGCAGCAGCCCCTTCAGTTATTAGAAAGCTTGATATAGTTCAAGCAAAAGCTCTTAGAGTGTGTAGTGGGGCATTTCATACAACACCAATACCTGCGCTATTAATAGAAACAGGGGAGATGCCATTAGAAATAAGAAGACGTAAACTTGGTTTGAAGTATTTAATGAAACTAAAAGGACAGACTGGAAAGTTACCAACAAAAAACCTGTTGAATCAGCATTGGGAGTTTATGGGAACAACAAGATTGGTTAAAACAAACTTTATAGAAACAATCAAATCCATGGCAGGTGAAATTGGTATTGTGAATTTGAATGTATGTCCACCAGTATGTCGGTCAGAAGTACCTTTGTGGTTGATTCCAGATCCTAATGTTGATTTATATTTTTTGAAAACAAGCAAAAGAAAGATGTCAGAGGTTGTAGTGGAGGAGATAAAATCCCGGCAATGTCAAATATGGGGAGGCCACCTACAAATTTATACTGATGGGTCAAAGGATCGTGAGAGTGGGAAAGTGGCCTTTGGTATAAGTATACCCGAATTAGGTTATAAAAAAGGATGTAGGATCCCAGATCATTTGTCAGTATTTACTGCAGAGTTGATGGCAGTTTTATGGGCAGTAAGGTGGGTAGAAGATCATAAAAGGGAGTATTCTGTCATATGTAGTGATTCAGCTGCAACCCTAAATACAATTAAAAATATTAAAACTAAGTCTAGACCTGACTTACTTGTGGAAATTTTGCAAGTGTTGTATAGAATTCATAAAGCAGGGAATGAGGTGGGGTTTTTGTGGGTGCCGGCACACATGGGTGTGGAGGGTAATGAGGAGGCAGATGAGGTGGCAAAGAAAGCAGTGAAGGAGGAAAGAGTTCAACTTGATTTGCAGCATGGGTTACCAGATTACACGGAAATAATAAATAGGTCAGTAAAAGAAATGTGGCAAAGGTCATGGGATTGTGAAAAGAATGGGAGAGCGTATTACTCAGTACAAAAAATGGTAGAGAACGACAGATGTAATTATAGATATCAGAGAAGAGATGCAGTAGTGTTATCTAGATTGAGGTTTGGGCATTGTGGGCTGAGGGGTGGGCTGGCTCTGATTGGTAAACATCCTGATGGACAGTGTGAATGTGGAGAAAAGGAAACAGTGGTGCATATATTAATGCAGTGCAGGAGGTACTCTCAGCAAAGGAAGAAATTGTTTAGGGAATTGGGAGCAACAGGAGAAACTGTTTTTAATTTATGCTCTTTATTGAATTTGGACAGTTGGGAAAAAGTAAAAAAATTGATGGAGTATTTGCGAAATATTGGAGTATATAAAAAGATATAGATAAACAGTATTAAAGTTGTATATAGCGATTAGAGAACAGAGGAGGGCAGCAATACGCCATAGTTGCGTCTAGCCTGCCGGAAATACAAGAAGAAGAAGAACTACGTTTCCCAGAGTGCATCGCGCTGACAGCTTCTTCCTCGCGACAAAAATGGCGGCTCCTTTAACATTTTTGCTGATAGTGGCTGTGACAATAAGAGCCGTTTTATTCCGATCCAGTTTGGCAGAATTAATTTCAGAAAGGGTCGAGGTGGTGTCGCCTTTGAATGCGTGGAAACGAGGTTTGTTCGTGTATATTTCTGTATGGGGAGGCTGTATTACTGATGATTTGTTCTTGCATGGTAGCCTCATTGCTGAGCTGTCAAATAAAGACATGCTTTGAAGATTTTGACAGCACATCACGTTTCCATGCTGTATTTATAAGTTAATTATTGTTAATAACGTTATCGTTTACTGTATTATCTCATCTCAAATGTTCAGCATCAATGGAATATGCAATTTTGGACTCCAAAGCTTGTTGTGGCACCCACCTTAATATCTTACAGTTACAGTATGTTTTGTATTGCATTGATTGCTTTTTTGCAAATGACTTTTTTCAGTTTGATTTTGCATGTGACCATCATCCATGTTATATATAAACAGTGTGGAAAATATTGATTAACTGGAGTCCACATTGAAGTGATGGGATTTTTGACCTTACACCTGACAATAGTATTATTTATCCATATAATAATAATAATTATTATTATTATTAATACATGCTGTTCTTTTAAACTGTATGTATAATAATTATTCAAGAATTTTTGTGTAAAATAGTATTAGATGGAGTATAGCATGTCACATTGTAGGACAGTGCTGTCATTGTAAAATATATTTTTAAAGTTCATGCAATGGTCTTCAAATTCTTTGTTTTAGTTGTTAATGCATAATATGAATGATTTGTGGATTAAACAGTTGTGGAGGGTCTTGCCTTGTTGGATCTTGGGGTCTCGCCTTACTCAGGAGATGTGTTTCATGAAGTAAGTTCTATTTGAATTACACATCAGTATCTATGTGTTTGATCTATTTTCTTTACATTTTCAATTCTATTGTCAGATGTCAGCTTTTTTTGTTGTTGTTATATCTTCCAGACACCCCTTATCATATACCTCTTTCATTTTGTGGTCGACTATGCAGAGCTTGTTTTTATGGTAAGTACTAAGTCCTTATTTTTGTTGTTTGTCTTTCCTTTTTTCTTACATCATTGGACCGTGCAAAAAAGGCAAGTGGTAGCGGCAATCCCAAATGTGATTTACTATGCAATTTTCAGTGCAATTTTCCAGTTGGTTGTAAATTTCAAACAAAAAGGGGTTTGGAGTAAAATGATGTCATAACTCATAACAAGATGTTGAAGATGCAGAAAGTGTGTTTGAATGATAGAACTACTGTGTTTGTGTTTTTGTGCAAACTTCACACATGTAAACTTACTCAAATAACATTATGTCACCAGATAGCAGATGGAATCACAGCAGTGGCTCTTTATCTCTCAATCCAGACTTATAACAAGAATGTGGTAAGTTATAGCTTGATATTTGTGTATGTTTCAGAAGTTAGAGCCTATTCATTTATTATGTTTAGTTGTCATTATTATTTATTTTGTATTATTACGTTTTTGTATTTTTGGATAGATTGAAATATCTTTCATCTTGGTGTATTTTATAGTTTAGAAAACAGAAATATGCATTGGAATCGGACCGGTATCCCGCCGACTGTTTGGAGCTCCTCCAGTCTCCTAAGGAGATGTTCTACATCCCTCTCAAAGTTGCCATGTTGTAAGTTAAATCAAGACTATGTTATCACTTTTTTCATTTAAAATAAAGCAACAATATGTTTTCAGCCAGAAAACGAAGGCATGCATTTTCATTTGACTAATTGTCTTCCAGTTATCTGTTGAACCCCTTCACCATCCTGTCTTGTGTGGCAAAGTCGACTTGTGGGCTGAACAATGCCATTATTGCGCTCTTCATTCTCTGTACATTAAAAGGTGAGTGTTTCCTTAATGCACTAAAAGATAATGATGCTGAAAATTCAGCTTTGCCATCAGTTATTTTAAATTGTAATAAAAGTTCACAATATTACGTTTTTTACTGTATTTTTAATCAAATAAATCCATCCTGGATGCGCATAAGAGATTTCTTTTCAAAACATCTTAGGGGCCCCAAACTTTTGAATGGTAGTGGGTAATATGCAAAGAAGTTGTAACTGGTTATCACCAGTCTTATTCTGGAATGACAGAGATCACCACACATCAATCGGAGACACATTTAGCTTCAACAGTCTTTGATTTGTGTAATTATTAAGAAATGGACAGCAGGTCATAAGTAACTGCTATTTAAGCCCCTTTCACACAGAGATTCCGGAAAATACACGGATAAAGTGACCCGGGATTTGACAAGCCCGGGTTCGTTTGATTTTGCTTCATTCACACTGCCAGTGATTTGCCGGAATCAGAGAGCGCGTTCACACACAACCCGTGTATGTTCCGGAAAGACGCGTGACGTTGGATGTGACGGGTCTCTACTTCAGTCCAGTTTGCAGACATTTTTTTGTTCTTTCTTGTATCGATGACGAACACAAACTTTCTTCTAGAGTAACTGAGCCGCACGATAACTACGTCATTGCAAAGGCTCGTGAATCCTCACTACGACACACCCCTTATACGGCATTGGTTCTGGCTTTTGTTCACACAGCGCGCGTTCCGGGTCTGAACACGGCAATGTTACTAGGTCCCCAACCCGGCATCGATCCCGGCATCAATCCCGGGTCGTGTTTGCGTTCACACAGAAGGCACTCTGGCAATTTGCCGGCAATTTGCAGGGTTTAAAGCGCTGTGTGAAAGGGGCTTTATATAGCATGGCATTATGTCTATAGATGTACAGGTTTACTGTGTATGGTGTTGTTGTCTTTATTTTTTTAGGTAGTGCCTTGTTGAGCGGGATAATGTTGGCCTTGGCCACATATCAATCCATCTATCCTCTGACCCTGTTTGCTCCTGCACTACTGTTCCTCCTGCAGGTGAGAGTTAGAATTCAGACCATACTAGTGCAGATACCATTTACATGCCTATGACTACGTTTACATGTGAACCTATAATGCGATTTCCAATAATCAGAGTAAGGCCTTGAAGTTGAAAATGGAAGTTTTTTGGGGTTTTAGTATGAATATGTTAGCCTTGCTGTTATCTATAAGCTAGTGTGCTCCAAAACAATGACAAAATCGGATATAGAAGATATATGCATTCAAAACTTCTGCATTTCTTCGTCACTCTGCACTTCAGCTTCTTATCAGATTTTCTGTCCAATCATAACCTGGCCCTAGCCAGATGAATTTCGCTCCGCCTAGCTTCACTCACATCCATCTGGAACCGATCCATTGAAATTGCGTTTCAGAAGGCTGGGCCTTATCAAAAATCCTTGCATATGATTGGATAAGCCACTTGTCTGTCATCTTTATCGACGTGCTATTTCAACCACTCACACCGAAGCCAACCCGTGACGCTGAAGAATCCGGTCGGGAGAAGGCACTGATCTATATAACATCGTTTCCACCAACAAAAGCCTTAAGAGCCGTTCTCTGATGTTCTTTTAATGAAACAATATTAGGTAGATTGGACAACACGGATGAAATAGCAGCATCAATGTTAACGCTTGTTTCCTCGATGCGAGCCGCCATTGTTGTCTGAATCAAAACAGTCTCACGGTCGCTTCTCCACTACGTCACATCGATGAAACTCCCGCCCTGCGTCCTGATTGGCTTAACCATAAAGTTGGTTGGAGAAATCACTCTCAATGGAAGAGGTTCCAGATGGATGTGAGTGAAGCTAGGCGGAGCGAAATTCATCTGGCTAGGGCCAGGTTAGTCCAATCAAATGTCCCATAGAATCTGAAGCGTCCCGCCCCACAATAAACTATAAATAGACGCTGAAGCTGCGGCTGAAATCAGTCACTTGTTCACACATTTACTATTTTCTATATGGAAAGTCTGTGAATGTCACATAGTGCACTATATAGGGCATAGGGAATGATTCAAACAGTGTAAATATGCTTTCCATTGGGGCGAATGAAGTCTGGTTTCATGTTAGTGTCACGCGAACCACCGCAGCGCACACACACACAGTCTGCTCAGGTCCAGATACACGATAGCACAGAGCGGATCATAAGAGTCAGTGCAGACCCCAAAACTTATCGGAGCCATTTGAATTCTGCACAGAATACTATATTTTTTAAAGCGATATGGAGGAGATTAGGAGGAAACTGCGGTTTTACCGAGCTGTGAACACTATTGGCTATTTAAAAAAGTGGAGGAGCTGTTCGATATGTCCCGCTATGTCTTCCTGTTTCAGTGGAATTTACATCAACACTTTAATAATAATGCTGCACGTTTCAAGACACTTCAGTGGGCCTTTAACCACAGTAAGATGTTTACATGACACAAGAAAACCTCTTCACTCCCATTTACATGCCATTTTCATTATTGTATTTATACTTCACTAAGAATTGTGGTTATTTTTACCGCTATTAAATGCATACCCCAATGTACAGCATAAATGATGAACTCACATACAGTAGATAGATATGTTGCTGGCCACTGTATGTCAAATGCATAACACATTTCTCTTTACGTATTGGACTTTTTTCGGTGATGTGCCTAAAACGGTCTTCATTTCGCTGTTTTTGACCATCAATATACTGAATTATATTCATGTTATGCAATGTTATCCACATGAACTTGGTTTCTTTAGCACCCTAAAAATGTGATGCCTTTTTTACTGTTGTGTTTACGAATCTGCGCATGACGACATCATCCGTGTACGTCACAAGCACATGCGCGCTTTGGTCTGAGTGGATATAGATGCGATTTAAAGTGTTTACATGCCTGTTTATTGCGATTACAAACGGCATACGCCACACATTTTACTACGATAATGAGCTTAATTTTATCAATTTGATTGAAGTGTTGTGTTTACATGAGGTAAAGTTTAATTGTAATATTGCCAAAATCTTTTTATCACTGATGACCAAAATGAAACCTCTCTCTATGTTGTCTCCCTTTCAGAGGTTGTATATCCCAGTGAACCTGAGGAGGAGTAGTTTCTGGTCCTTCACTCTTCAGTATGCGTTCATATATGTGGGCAGTCTGGTGGTGATCACTGGACTCTCTTTCTTTCTCCTGGGCTCCTGGGATTTCATCCCTTCTGTCTACGGATTCATGTCAGTCAGCAGTCATAGATCGCACTCTGTTATGTTTCATCAAATACTTTATTCAGATATCTACAGTATGTGTTTGTGTGTGTTTTCCTCAGATTTTCGGTTCCAGACCTCACTCCAAACATAGGACTCTTCTGGTACTTCTTCGCAGAGATGTTTGAGCACTTTCGTCTCTTTTTCATCTGCGTCTTCCAGATCAATGTCTTTTTTTACACCATCCCGCTTTCCGTCAAACTCAAGTAGGTCCTGCATATGGCTGAACATGAGCAATACATAAAGCAATGTTATACATTTAACATGTATAGCACGCTTATGGGTGAAATGTATTCAAACAGGGAGCATCCAGTATTCCTCATCTTCATGCAGATTGCCATCATCTCCATCTTTAAGTCGTACCCCACCGTGGGAGATGTCGCCCTCTACATGGCATTTTTGCCAGCCTGGAGTCACCTCTACCGATGTGAGTCTCTTTTCATTTAAATATGTTAACAGGTTTCCCAATGAAACAGGAAATTTGGCCATCTCAAAAGGCGTTTTCCTTTAAAGTCGATTACATCATAAACATAAACCATTTGATTCTTGGTATTGCTAGTCGGACTCATTCTAGAGAGCATTTAATTGCAAAAACGTGATTATTATATGAGTTATCAGTTAGTCTGGAAATATTTTAAAATATAATATAATAGAAAACAGTTATTTTTGTAAGTTGTAATAATATTTCACAATATCGCCGTTTTTACTGTATTTTGTTCAAATAAATGGCTGTTCACACTGGCAGTCCAAATCCGATTATTTGTGTATCCATTTGGAAATTTGATTAAAATGATTTACTGTCCACGCTGTGTATCGCAACTGTTCAGATCTGATTTGTGTCCCGTGGCGCTCTTTCGTTCTTTCTCTTTCGCGCTCTTTTGTTTTCCATAAGATCCTCATACTATGTCAATGATGTTGCATTGGTTGGCATACAACAAAAACAACAACAGCAACGTAGAGCGGTTTGCATTACAGATGTTGTCTTATTTACAACATGACAATATGCAGCAAGCATTATTCCGTGCCGTCGTCTCCGCCGGGTTCAAAACCTGTAATACTGTAATTTTCTGCTCGACCGACACTTTGCAACACTTTCTTATTTCTGCAGCAACTTTCAGCATGTTTCTTATAACAACATCGGACATGCTTACATATACAAATAACATAATATATAATAAAATAACATAAACCACGTGAAATCCGATCAGAGCAGTCAGACTGAAACGGATTTCCAGAAATGCGCACATATTATCCACATATTATGTATGTAGCTCAAAACGGATTTGTAAAAATTGCATTCCATCTGATTTTTTTGTTGTTGCTGTTTACACTTGATAAATATGATGTGGACTGACAGTCTGAACGAGGCTTAAGATACTAAGTGTAGATTGTGCAAAAGTATACTTTATAATGTCATTTCTTTTATGTGGGTTTTTCTCTGTGAATTAATCAAATGTGGAGTATCTATTTTATTTAATACTGTGTCATATATTTAGCACTTTTCCAAAGCACCTTTGCTATTTTCACATTTTCTGCAAAGATTTTGTAGATTATTTTGAATAAAAAAAATCTTTAATGTTCTAAAATGGGGTTTTCACAGTGATGCAAAGAACATTTCAGTGAACAGTCTTAAACTAACCATGTTTCTTTTTTAATGTGAAGAACATTTAAAAATTCGACAGAACCTCATTCATCTATAAAGAACCGTTTGTGTAATGGAAAGGTTACATGGATGTTAGAATTTCCTCACAAAACCACTGATGCCAATAAAGAAACTTTATTTTTAAGAGTGCATGACTTGTATTGGCAGACAAACTTTGTGAATGACAGTTATTCAAATTCTGCTGAGCTTCACCGTTTCCGCACAAGCCTGCGAAGATGTGTACTCTATTTGTTTTCGTGCAAGTGGAGTGAGTTGAAATCTGCTTGCTAGCTTTTTAATGAAATCAGATGCATGTATTGAATTGTAGAAATGAGTGTTTTTTTTTTCTTTATTTCTTTATCTCAGTTTTGAGAAACATCTTTCTGGTGTCATGTGTGCTGTTGGCGTGCTCAGCGCTCTTCCCTGTACTCTGGCATCTGTGGATATACGCTGGCAGTGCCAACTCTAATTTCTACTACGCCATCACGTTGCTCTTCAACTTTGGACAGGTAAAGGGTCCCATCTTGACAAGCCACATCACCTAAAAACAATATTGATATGTTAATCAACAAGTCTTTCATGCCCAGTACACATTGTACAATTTTGGGATGCCCCAGACAAAAGATGACCAATTTCTGTGACCAATTTTTTGGCTCCTAAATGTTGGTCCTACGTGACAGAGAGAGAGGTTCAAAGACGGCCGTTGTCACGGTCTTGAGACCAAAGATAGCGTGAGATAATTTTCTGACAGTTTCAGAAATGTAGGATGATCATCTCACAGTGTGTTTGCTGCTACGACCGACGTCTACTGACTAGCCAGTAAAAATGCAACATGAAATGGTGTATTGATCAACGCGACATGGCGCTTAAACTTAAATTGGCGTACAAAGTTGGCCATATTCTCCTTTTTCGCTTCCTCCTCTTTTTTTCAGCACACATAAAAACCACAATTGCCAAAGTATGATTCATCTTGCTCTATTTGTTTACCAGTAGCACATGCTGATGACATTTTATTCTTCTATACTAACTTGCGTCGTAGTCTACGATTCAATAGGTGTCATCATCAAACAGTCTACATACATGTCGTACCCAAGTTTATTAGATCCATGTCGTACAGTGTGATTTGTAATGATCTCATAGGATTGCCGAATAACAGTCTGTAGTAGGCATAAATCAGGGGTGACCAATCCCGTTCATGGAAATCTTCCTACCTGAAGAGTTCAGGGGCCTCATTTATAAACGTTGCGTACGCACAAAAGAAGGCGTACGCCGCTCTCTACGCAATAATTGGTATTTATAAAAAGCAAACTTGACGGTAAAATGTGCGGTCCTTCACGCAAGCTCTGACCCAGGCGTACGCACAAAAACGGGTGAAATGAGAAATGGCGACACCGTCGGCAGATGGAAGAAACACGTGAAAGCGTGTGAAACTGTAGACCGTTGTGTAATGGCAATACTGCCTCTCATAAATAACACGAAGACTTCACAAAGCAAGTCTTACAATTAACAGCCTACACGAACACCCGTTTGATCGATCTGCAACAGAAATGCAAATTAACACATATTTGCAAAAAGAAAAGTGAAATATGTTCTGCAATAATATTGGCATGTTATACAATTCATCCTCATAAATAAGATGGTAAACAGAACGAAATAATGTACAAAACTGATATTCTCGCCAATGTGTCCGTCAGGCGGAGCAGATATAGATGCAATGATAGATAGATAGATAGATAGATAGATAGATAGATAGATAGATAGATAGATAGATAGATAGATAGATAGATAGATAGATAGATAGATAGATAGATAGATAGATAGATAGATAGATAGATAGATAGATAGATAGATGTATTATTTGTCCACTGGGGAAAGTTGTTTTCATAGTAAAAATGTCTTTATCAGCTACGGAATCATGGTATTCATGCATATGCCTGTAGTTTGTTTTATTTTTGATAAAATAACGTATGACGTATGTCTCAACCATTCAGAAAGCAAGAAATTACATTTGCGCTGAACTATTTCCCATTTCCAAGTAGATTATAACCGACATCTGTAGCTTGTCATTTCTTTTTTATCTCGGCCAGAGTCTGAGGTTGTGAGGCTACAGCACTACGGCGTCTGCAACCTTTTGCCACTCAAGTGCCTTTTTGGCATTAGTAATGCCCACACTGTGCCCTCCAAACAACATTTTTCTCCTCTTTTCCACCTCGCCAACGATAACTTCTACTTCACATTGAGTGAAGTTACGTTTTTTTTGATTTCCTCTCTATGTTTGCCATGATTTCGCAATCGATGAATATTAACTTAGGGGCGTTTCACGGACTATTTATGGGCAACTATGGGCGTGACATGAAGCCGCAAAAGCTGCGCTACATTTAGAATTGATTGTGATTTATTAAGGGAAAAATGCGTAGGATGTGCGTGCGCACGGTTTTATAAATCCGAATATTTCTGTGCGTACGCACGTCCTATGTTTCATCCGTACGCCACTTCTGACGCAAATCCTACGCAAAGTTTTATAAATGAGGCCCCAGATCTGACACTGATCAAACACACATGTCTGTAATTATCAAGAGCGCCTGAAGATCTGAATGAGCTGCTTCAGTTGTGTTTGATCAGGGTTGGAGCTGAGCTTTGCTGGAAGGTAGATCTCCAGGAATAGGATTGGGCACCAAAAAAGGAAGTTACCCAAAATTGTTGTAACCCAAAATTGGGTAACAAAAAAGGAAGTTTTCTTCTTTATAGTTCTTAGTCTCAAGATAGAGTCAGCTAATTCGACCATGCAGAAGCCTGTCATGCCAGAAATACACAACTCATGGCAGAAGTACACAAAACCTGGTGTCAGGTTGCAAGAAAGATGTCAGAAAGAAGGGCCTATTGAAATGCATAACAAAAAAACTAGTAAAATATAGGTTATCCGCACATATAGCGATCCACTCCTAGCTTTTGAAGATTGAAAACTTTGGATACGATAGTGTTTACAGCTACTTGACTAACAAATTGCGAGTGGAAGAATCGCTGTAGCAACGAGGTTTCATAATTCATTAACTCGTATTAGTTTCAGCTGAACAGTCCCGTATTAGGTTAACCAGGACTGCTGGCAGCGCGCCTTACACACGAGGCACGTGCACCTCACGTCTGCTTCACAGTGTGACAACAAACCCCATATGTGTCTTGTAGAGAAATTCGACCTAACGTCTGGGAATTTAAAGCACGTGGTTTCCTCTATAAATGACCTTTTCAACACATATTTGTCACAGTTTGAACTCCTAACGAAACTGAAAGTTCATTTAGTGAGTACTACGAAGTTTCACAGGAAAGTTTACAGACTACATGAACCAATGTCATGTGTGTTTATGCCACCACAGATCCTCCTGGTATCAGATTATTTCTACGCCTACCTGCGTCGAGAACACCACCTGACGCACGGCCTCTACCTGAAGAAGGAAGATGGCACTGAAGCCACTCTTGTGTTAAAGTGACCTTCTTTCGCGGGACTAAGAGATCTCACCGACTGCCTCACACTCCCATATCTTTACTTGTTTTTTATTTAACTTTCCATTCACACTACTGGTTTTTCCCCCAGGTCTTTTACTTTCACCTCAATTTCCCTCTCCTTTCTTTTTTCAAAACCTGTTCCTTTCTTTTGCACATTTGAGAGTTTTACCTTATGTTTGGATGTTGACACCCCCCTCTTGGACCAAAGCTGTTTTGTAAGAGACTTTTTTGATAATGTGACTGACTGAAGGTATGTGAATGATACTGGAACTTTGCTTTTACTTTATTCGGTTCCCTTGAATGATGCAATGAAAAAGAGGTGGGTAGAATGGTTATTTACATTTTTTTTTTGGTTTTGCTTGTTGTCTGTCTTTGTTTCAAAGGATTTACTTTCTTTATTAAACTCCATTCAAACAGTGAGGTCGTATAGTTGGACGTGCAGTTTGAAGTCATGGTCAGCAGAGGGTATAACATGAATGTGCAGTGATGGTACAAACTTTGACTGCAGAGAGCTCACGTTTTAGCAGAACATGAAGAAGTGGTTGAGTTTGAATGTTCTTTTAATGCTTTTCTTGGTTTGACTTGCTTTTCTTTTCTTGATTTGGTGCTTTTTTTGTATGACAGTTTCGTTTGTTTTATGTTATTACAGAATGAGGGATTAAACTGCACTGCAATTTTATTTATTTTGGTGATGGTTTGAATTGTGTTCATTGTTCGGATTAATGATTTCCTTGGGATTAGGAATTAACCGTCTGGATTTACTTGGATCTGTGTTTTTGATCTTACTCCAGGGCACGTGAATCGAACGATTGCACACCTGTACGACTCGGCCATCTTGTGGTTAGACCTTCCTTTTAGTCCTTAAATGATCAAATTTTCCATTGCCTGTATCGTTTCCAGACTTCTCTAATAATCCGCCCTTTGGCCAGGTAGGAAGGTGTAGACATCCGGGTGGCTTTGATTATGAGGTCACCTGATCCAAAGTCTAGTGTGTGGAAGTCATCTCTAATGTCATAAAGATATAGATACTAAAGGTTTACAAACAAATGCTTGCCATTTTATTTACACATGCAATGACATCCTTATCGTACCTTTTTTGACCTTACATGACATACTTACTGTATAACGCAAACGTATTTTCCTTAAACCACTAAATTGTCATCAGTATTTTATATCATACTGTATATTAAACTGTTACTAACAGGGAAATAATTTAATAACTTGTAATCATTTTTGTCTTGATTTTGAGTATAAATAAGCTTAATTTTCAATTAAGTTTACTTTTCTTACCATATTGGCAAATACTTTTTTTTTCTATTTTAACCCTCCTTTTTTGTTAACCTAAGAACTTTTTGTTAACTTAAGAACTTAACTTTGTGTTATATATTTTATATCTTATTGTATATTTTGTGGATATTTAGATATTGTTACTCGAAATCAAGACAGAAACACTGATTACGTTTTGTTTTTGGTTTGTATAATACAGCATTTTGACTGAAGCTTCTTACCTTAACCGACCAGTTTGAGCAGGTTGATAGAGATAGTAACCTTTCTTTAAGTTGGACTAGTGTCGTGGGGGTTATTTATTGTGTTCTTTTGGATGATTTTCCTCCCGTTTTACCTAGGATGAACAAAGTTACGCAGACTTAACTTCATAAATATGCTATTGGTACCAAACTAGAAACAATTGAATGGACTGGGAACTGTGAAAATGTTGGCACGATTAAGGGCTTTTCTCCTGCCTGCGTCAGAGGTGGAACTGCAGGGAATCTTTTAAGTTGTTAATGAAATTTTAAATTCTACGTTTTTTCAGGATTCTCATTTTGAATGCCTTTCCAGCGGTTCATAAATGTACACACTGAAGTATTACCCATTACATGACCTCCATTTCACATTACTCTGGTTCCCCATTCGGTCTGAAAGGAGTTTGGGCCGTTTAGGATGTCAAGACACTGATTTTAAATGATTTGTAAATTATGTTGTGATTTAAAATGCCAATAAAGATTATTTCTCAGTTGTGTTGTTTTGTTAAAGTACATGTTGATTCTTGATTTAAGAGATTTTGTAATCTTTTCATTAAGGTAAAAGTGCAATTTATATCCAGCCTGTCATGGGTTTTCATGAGAAACAAGAAGTGTAATGTCTCATGTCAGCAGGTATTGTTTGTCACAGTTCAAGCACATTGCTGATATCATGACTTGAATGAATGAATTAATAGACTTCTTAGTAATGTTAGAAGTTTTCTTCAAATTCTAGATGCAAAGGTCAATGAGAGCTGTAAGTCTAGCTGACAAATGACAGTGAAACAAGGATAAGTACGGTAAAAAAAGAAATGTTGAAATTGAGCAACCACATCCCACTTGCTTCTGATTGTCAAAATTAATTGTACAGACATGCTTGTATGCATTTGCCACAAATTGCAATCATTTTTTACATTCATTACTTTGAACATAAATCATTCCGCCTGAAAGTCAGAATGACTCCGCATAATAACTTTTGTTCTCCCTTGTTTTGATGTCCTTTGACCTACCAATGGATTTAATTATTACTTAACTACCAGGTTGTTTTGTATATTTCATCATTTATCTTGAGATGTTAATTTTTTAGATCATTTACATTTGAATGTATTATATATCTTCAGCTAGAAGTGTCAAATTAAGTTAATATTTAAATTATAGCTTTTTTTTTTACATTGTAATAATTGTCATTGGTAAAACTTTGCAATAAGGTTGTGTGTGTTAACAGCTAACACATTAGTTAACATGAACTATTACCATGAGCGAAACTTTTACAACATTTATTAATCTTGGTTAATGTTAATTTCCACAATCATACATTTTTAACATTTAAAGTTAATAAATGAATAATAGTATGTATGTTTATACTATCTAAGCTGTAAAAAGTTATTGTTCTAACTATCTAATGCTAACAAATGTTAACAACGTGTACAATTTACAGTACAAACCAAACTTGTTCAAACTAAGGTTTGCCCAACACCACAATTCCTTTCATTCTCATGTGGTTTATGTGGAGACTGACTGACTGGATAATGTTGCATAAGCATTTACATAACATCAACTACACAGGACCTGTTGAATCAGATTTTCATGTCACCATTATTTCGCTCTTGAGCTGATGAAGCAATGTATTGTGAACAGACTTGGTTCTCTTTGTGAGTGCCGTTGACTCTTGGATAGACTAAAGGGAAATGCTTTTGCGAGCCTTTTGAAAAGGGCCCCTCATCCTGCCCAACTGGAAACTTGTTGAGTCATGTGCTGATAACCAACAGAATTTAAGAAGATGGGTACAGCATGAAAGGTATTAAAAGGGCTGTGAAGACAGCATATTCTTTCCATATTCATTCAGTAAATTGTTTGGTATATATCCAAGCACATAACGAAGCAGTCTTTTCAAACCTCAAAACTCGTATCCAAGCTTCAATCAATGTTGTAATGTTTTTTGCCATTACATTGCATAAACGGTGTGTTATCTTGACAATTTTTTGTTTTCATTTTTTATTAATACATATACTGTTTTAGAACCTCTGCAATGGTAGCATTTTAATTCTATAGTATTCCTTTAAATACCTTGGAGTATGTGAATGCATATGAATTTGGTCCAAGATATATGTAATATACCACAGTGTACTTTTAGATTTGTCCTTCACATAAACACCAAAATCAATTTATGACCTCAGTTTACAGGCAACATGGTCCCTGGTTTTTAAAATGTGTGATCATATTTCTAGACACTGTTCTACTTCTTAGTCACGCATTGAAGCTGCAAAACAGGAGCTGGTTCCTTGTACTAAGTATTAAAAAACTATCCTTTCATAACAAAACAAAAATGTTAATGGAAACCCAAACACACCCCTGAGAAAAGACCTTGAATGAGGATTTAAGTAATTAGTTCCCAACAATGGAAACTTTCTTTCTCTTTTAAGGAGGGAGGGGGTCAAAGAAAGTAACACAAAAGTTTAGTTATATTGCATAACCTGACCTAGTTAGCATGTCACCCAGTCTCGTACAATTATGGTTTAGGCTGTAACTAAAATATGAACATTGATTTAAAGGTTTTACATCTATACTTTTACAACAAGCAAATTGAACATGAAGTTCAAACCAAAAATAATATAAATTAAAACAAAAGGGTCGTAGAAAGTAACAGGAAGTAGCTGAGTGTCACCTGAACAAGATACCATACCCAGCCATAAACAATTGTTCAGAATAAGAATCAGAATTAGCTTTATTGTCAAGTATGTTTAGTTACACGCACAATGAATTTGTCTTGGTGAGCTTCCAGTGCAGAAGAAAATACAGACATAATAGAAGAACTAAAGATTTAAATAATGCAATATAATTGTTTTAATGAATGTACAGATATGTATTTACAAGTGTACAGTTTATGATGTAATTTACAGATGGACAATTTTAGATGTTATGTCATGTTGTCGATGTAACTAGAATATGGAGTTTGATTTATGGGGGGAAAGAGTCAGGGGTATTAAAATGTTTTCTTTATTTTTTAAATAAGCGATACAGTTAAAATATACAAACAAAATATATGAGCAAAATACACAACACCTTTAGCAGTTCTTCTCATTGCTGTCATTCATGAGCAATCTGCAATTCTGTAATGAATAAATGTTCAGAGATTTAATCTTGTGAATAAAGAATCTTCCATAAATAATTAACATTGTTATTACAAAAGAAAGGCTAAAATAATTGTTTAGGGAGCCAAAAAAGGTCATAATTTTCTTTAAGGGAGGAGGTGCAATGGTATCGGTAGTATTGCAGCGACACTGTTCAAGCCGCTGCGTTTGCCTATTGGCTGATGTGGAGTGACAGTAAGATTCAGGCCAATCAGGGATGAGATCATTTTCAGTGAGTGGAAAACTACAAGCTACAAGACGCTCATACGTCACCCCACACTGCACCAATCATAAGCGTCATATCTTACTACTTGCGATGATTGGGTCGTATGGGATGGACTATGAAGAAGAATTATAAAACCCGTTAGCGGCGCACGAGTCGGGTATCGTGGGGTGTGTGTGCGGCTTCTCTCTTTACAGCCGGGAGGAAGCTACGTGTGTATTTTACATTTCGTTTTAAAATATCTTTGCAGCCGCTCTGCTACAACAACAAGACTTTGCTGTCTGAAGTAAAGAAGCGTGACTTATTTGGATCTCGGATATTTGCATTAAAGGTAGGTGTCTTTTAACATTCAAGCCGTGATGGCTTACTTTCATCACGCCAATCTAAGTTACATTACAAAGGGTCATGATTACCAATCGTGATTTGATTAATTACATCATATTTGATCTCATCTCCTAGGTCATTATAACTCATCTTTGTTCTTGTTTCCTTAATTTGGTGTTGCGTCGTAATGTGTCCGTCGGATAACGTTATGGAAATTGTCTCGTCTCGTGGGCATGTCTGGACCATAGACATAATAAATACATGTACATGTATTTATTATGTCTATGGTCTGGACCATTAGAGGTCTGGACAGAGTGGACAGCACGCTTATGAAAGCGCACGCGCACGTAACTAGCATCTGAGTTACGTACGCATCAGACGGTTACCGACTTTCGTAATCTTCTGCAAATGCAACCCAGTTGAGCTGCATTCTTTCTGAGGGTATCTGATCAGGCTATTCGCGCATCCTACCAGCTAACTGCGACTGAGAAACGATGAAGTCGTCGCTGGGAAACGCATATGATCTCTGGGAGATTCTGTGAAGCGCAGAATGCCTCAATTTAACGTTAGTTCCTTGAATGACCTGTGTGCACGCGGCTCGCTGTCACGTTGCCCTAACGTTACTTGTAAAATAGCGAATACTTTTTGTTTGATAAGTGGGGAATTAGGCAACGTTAGCCGTTACAAGTGGCTTAAATGGATAGTTCGCCTAAAAGTGAAAATTCTCTCCTAGGATGTTCCAACCATGTATGAGTTACATTCTTCTATTGAACACAAAAGAAGATATTTTGAATAATGTTGCTAAAACGGTAGCCACTGACTTCCAAAGTATTTTTTTTTTCCTACTATGGAAGTCCGTGGCTACCATCAACTGTCTGGTTACCAACATTTTTCATTATCTTCTTTTATGTTTAGCAGAAGAAAGAAACTCATACAGGTTTGGAACAACTTGAGGGTGAGTAACTGCTGACATTTTCATTTTTGGGTGAACTATCCCTTTAAATTCTGTGAGGTAAAATCCACAATTTGAAGCTTCTCTTTCTAAGCGTTGAACTTGAATGACCCATTTTTATGAGTTGGACATGAACATGATTTTCAGCAGCAGCCTCATAAATCGTCCAGATCACAGAAAACGTGTGCACGTACTCCTTTAGACACACAATTAAGCCCCCCTGGACTTCATTCAAGAAAACTGCTGCTACGTGCATTATACATGTATATGTATATATTTATTTATGTACATGCATATAATGACCAGAGCTTATATTTAAAGTGTATTTGGGAAAATAGTGTCACTATTCGGAATGACTCAGCGATGTCGACCGTGGCGCGAACAGCTTTAGAGAGGCACGGTCACTTTAACAAATTCTGCACAGTCATGGTTACACCGAACTTCTCCTGACCTGTTATCATGCCTGTTATATGGCAAGCCGTTTTGACTTCTATTCATTCCCAGGATATGAATTCTTGATATCAACAATTAATTTTTTTACTAGTTTAAATGCTAATTCTTGATATAAGGAATTAAATTTGCACTAGTAAAAATGTTCAATCTTATTATCAACAATGACATCATCACTCACAGAAATACGAATTCTTGCTATCAATAATTAAAATTCAATATCTGTAATTGTATTTTCACTAGTTAAATGTCACCATGGCCTGCCATTAAAATTAAATTGTTGATATCAATAATTGATTTCTTACTAGTTGAAATTACAATTGCACATATCAGAAATGCAGTTCTTACTAGTAAAAATCATAATTTTTATATCAATAAATACGTAAATAAATGTCTGTTCTTGATATCAACAATTGTTACTAGTAGAAATCTAATTCCTGATATTAAGAATTAGCATTTTAACTGGTAAAAAAAAAACTAGCCATACCTGTTATGTAATAACACTTCAGTTGATTCATAATTATTGTCTGAAGCTGACAGCCTGCCTTACTAATGCAGATTATATAGGGTTATCTAATAGAAGGGGAAAGTATTAGTCCCTATTATTAGTAATAATGACCATCATGGAAGGGGTCAAGGGGAGGGGATGTAGTGATCGGGGATTGTGTATCTTGGGAGGGTGTTTTATGGTTGTGCTGATAGCTTTTGCAGCTTGCCATTTGTTCTCTTTTTGCATGTGATAGGAGAGCCATTATGGAGCAGTACAACAAAGACACAGTTTCTGAGGATATCCTGCCTGTTGTCATTATTGGTAAGAGTCAACATTATACATTTGTTGTTTTTAAGCTTTATGTGGTTAAGTGGGTTCCGTGAGTACATGTGACAGTCTCATGATACTGTCTCTTCCATGAGCACTCACAACTCTTAATGCATTTTCTACATGCAAAATGCATCCAAAATATTTCTATTCTTGTACTATTGTTTCTTTCTCTCATTTTCATCTTTTTTTTTTTTTTTTTAAATCTAGACTGTACTTCTGTGAGCAATTTAAAATGTTGTATTGCAGCCAAGGTCCAAAATTAACTAATGGACAGGCTCAAATGGAATCTGGGCATGCAGAACTCTGCAGAAAGCTCAGCATAATTGGTACGCCTGTTAATTACAATGTTCTGCACATCCACCACCCCTTGGATTTTTGTATATTCACAATTTTGGTTACTTTCATAATTATTTCAGCTAACTGTAATTGCGTAGTGCTTTCAGTTAAAAACATTTACCATGTTTAAATGCGGAAAAAAGTCTGGATGTGCTGATGACGGGTGAATTGGAGGAATTTTTTTTTTTTTACCAATCATAAATATTTCTTACCAGCCATTCACATGCCCACTTACATCATCAGGTTAAAAACTGCGAGGCTCGGACTATTGTTCTGTGACAGTTTCTAAATTTGATCAGCTTAAAGTGATAGTTCACCCATAAATGAAAATCCTGTCATCATTCACTCGCCCTGAAGTTGTTCAAAACCTGTAAGAGTTTATTTCTTCTGCTGAACACTAAAGAAGATTTTTTAAAGAATGTCAGTAACCAGACAGTTGATGGACCCCCACTGACTTTCATAGTTTTTTTTACCCATGTTATCCAAAATATCTTTTTATGTTCCACAAAGCAAAGAAATGAATGCGGTTTGGAACAACTTCAGGGTGAGTAAATTTTCATTTTTGGGTGAACTATCCCTTCACTGGCCAATTTCAGAGAGAGAGATGGTCAGTTTGAACATCTTAATTTTCACACCAAAAAAACAAACATCTGAGATATGAAAAGTTCTCTGGGGAATATATTCTAGAGCATTCATTATCCACATGCATGGATTTGTTTCTAACAGGTAATGGACCATCAGGGATTTGTCTCTCTTATTTGCTGTCTGGATACACGCCTTACCTTTCCCCCAATGGCTTCCATCCCAACCCAATTTTGCATAACAAACTGACGGCGAATGCTCATCTGTCTTTGCTTGACCAGGTAATTCACACATGTAATCCCTCTAGACACATTTACCACACCTCTTTACATAACAAGTGGTGATTAATTGTAGTGGTTTTCAACAAAAGTCTCTATAGCCTGTTCCAAGGATTAGTGAATATTGACAATAATTGACAAGATTTTGCGCACATTCTTGTTCAAATACAGAAAAAAACCTCTTTTGTCTTTATATGTGCATGTAGGATCTGGAGTACCTGTGTGAAGGTGTGGAGGGCCGTTCCTCAAACCCTGTGGCTGTGCTCTTCGATGCCCTCCTCCTTCCAGATGGTGACTTTGGGGTGGATTGCGCTTCGCCACTGATATGGCGTCATGAGCCGGAAAGGGCCACTCCTCACCTTGTACTGGGGAAGGGACCACCTGGAGGGGCCTGGCATGTATGTAACCACTCCTAAAATTCTTCTGGCTTCTGATCTATGGCCTCAGCGCTCATATTGTTCACTTTTTCAGGAAACTGTATCATTGTTTATTTGAATGTCAGAAATACATTTCCAGGTCATGTTGCACTCCAAAATCGAAATAAAAATCAAATCATATTTCACATAAAAAAGAAACGTAAAAAGTCATGAGAGTATTTGTTGTATATTATATGAGTTATATTTGGGCAGTATTTGTTGTTCTGCCTTTAATATATTTTTAATGTAATCAGCAAACTTTGTTTATTATAGATTTTTTACTGTAATATAGTTAAAATGTCTGTATTACTAATTAATCTAAATGGAATCACCATTGAAACAAACTATAAAAGTAAAATGTTCACACATGTTACAGTAATGAGAAATAGGGTGAAATATGACTTGAGTATGTTCATGAGGTTCACCCTAATACAGAAGTACATCCCTGTGGGAAAAGCACTCCTGTGATTTAATGTTTGCATGTCTGAAAGCAACTTCTGTTGAGTTTTTGTACCAGTTTGATCAGATGTTATTCATGTGCTTTGCCTGCTTCATATCAAGATGTGACTTTATTGTGTATTGTTCTTTATGCCGGCAGGCAATGGAGGGCTCAATGTTGACTCTCAGCTTGGCTAACTGGATGGAACTTCCTGGTTTGAAGTTGAAGGACTGGATGAGAGATAAACGAAAGTACGAAAATGAAAACTTTATGAAATCAGCATGGAGAATAATGAGCTCACATTTCATGAAAAATTCCCAAGAAGATTCTTGCCATAAATTTGAAACCAATATGAAAATAAGATTCTTGCATGTGTTAGTCTTAGAACTAAACTGAAACTATAAGTGGACTATAAGGTGTCTAGTTTTTTCTATGTAAAAATAATTTCTCTTTTGCTAACATAATGTGAATAGTATATCTAAGTATGTTAAATTCAGCTAAAAATGTGTATATACTGTGGCTTTGTGGTGCTTTTAATTTTGCTTTTCAACATAATATAGCCCAACCAAAGTTTTTGCAAGTGGTGTTTTTTTGTGAATCAATGAGGCATCACGAGTATAACACATAGTTCATGAAGTTTGAAATGACCAAAATGACGAAACTGATCATCTAACATTTGTGTGTTTTGTGCGTGTAGAAATTTACGTAATGACCGGGCCACGCCAGCTGAGATTGCGTCCTACTACCAGCACTATGTGACTAAAATGGGTCTGGAGAGGAGCTTTGCTTGCGGCACCACCGTAACCTCACTCTCTCGGGTTTCCCTTGAATCTGACTGCTCCGTTTGGAAGATCGAAGGCCTCCAGAGAAGCGCAAATGGTGATGATGGAAAGGAAGTAATTGAAGTCCCTTTCTGCGTATATGCAGAGAATGTGGTGCTTGCCACAGGAACCCACGACATCCCAGCCCGTCTCGACGTGGAAGGCGAAAACCTTTCCTTCGTGTGCCACAGCTTCTGGGAGCTGGAGGCCGCCATTTCCTCAGGCCGTTTGGACCATGCCTCCGAGCCAATTCTTGTGGTTGGTGCTGGCTTGACGGCGGCAGATGCCGTTCTCGCGGCTCACCACTTGAACACACCTGTATATCACGCCTTTAGGCGACCTGTGACCGATCCGGCGCTTATCTTCAACCAACTGCCCAAACTCCTCTACCCTGAGTACCACAAAGTGCACCAAATGATGAGCCAACAGCAACACAAAGTGGGTGAGACGGAGGTTAATCTGTCCAACCAAGCTCTTACTTCACCTGCTGAGAACACCTGTTACCCTGGGTACCTCAGTTACCCAAAGCACCGTGTGGTTGCCTTCAGACCTGATGGCAAGTGTGTGCTAGAGGATGAGGGAGGGCAACAGACAGTGCTACAAGTCTCAATGGCGCTCGTTTTGATTGGTGCCCATCCCAACCTGTCATTCCTCCCAGAACATGGTCGCCCACTGGGGTTGGACTCCGAAGAGCCAATCAGCTGTCGGAGGAACCCGTTTGACGTGGATCCGTACACGTATGAGAGCGTGAAGGAGCCAGGGATGTATGCCATGGGTCCACTGGTGGGTGAGAACTTTGTGCGGTTCCTGAAAGGCGGAGCTTTGGCTATTGCATGTGACATCGCACGTAAACAAAGTACAAAACGACAAAGTGCGACAGAACATCGCAAAACCAGCTTATTGAATATTAAACTGACCAACTGCACCTTGTAATCATGAAAAGACAGACTTAAAAAAGGTGTGAAAAGAGTTTATGTATATCTATCTGGTGCTTCCAAAATCTTTCAGAAATGCCCCACTTATCAGAAAGTGCTCAGTGGTTCTGCTCCGACTGACATGAATGAACCAGACGTTGAACGGTTCAAGACCGTTCTGACATCCCCACTGCAAGTGCTTGCATGCAGACTGCGAATGCACTGACACAGATTTGTGTAGTTAATGGCTAACCTGGCCTAAACATTAATCTACATAAGTCTACGGACACATGGTGCTTTGACTTCAGGTATTCGTTTGTGCATGGCTGCTTTTACGAAACACTACTCGTGATCTGTTGTGCCAAATTAATGTTTGTAATTGCTGTGTTTTCAAATCTAACATTTTCTTCATGTAAGGAAAACGGAAAACTAATCTTTGCCAAGCAAATGCTGCGGTTGTATCGATGCTGGTACTGACGGCTTGTATTGTCTTCTTTGATGAATGTAGAAATCTTATTGGACCTAAAAAATCAGAAAGATCATTGTATCATTTCAAATGTTTGTCTTCCATACATTGCCTTCCCAAGTAAAGCATACACCTTTAAGTGAGTCCATTGGTTATACCAGCAAACCTGACTTGACTGTCTAGAATTGGGGCTCTTAAAAGTTTAAGATGTTCTTGTTTCATTCTGCTGTTGCTAACCAAAAGTCAAACCTCAGTGAGGTCAGGCTGCACTTACAAAACTGACCACGAGAGGGCCTTTGCACACGGTGACTGAAGCCAGCAGCATTGCATCAGGCATAGTGATCTTTCATGACATTATGTGAATGAATGATGCATCCTACATAAGCTTATTTATGACTGCGCTAACTAACATGGGCCAAATGTAACTTTGCCTATGAGATTGGTGCATGGCTCCGAGGACCCTTTGATGCAATAAATAAAGTAACTGTACTTTTTTTTGTTTTCTAAAATGCATATCTATTTCCTTTTTAAGAAAGCGATTCTACACTGAACATTGCAACATTACATTTGTTTATCTTAAAAACTTATTCTACTGTATTATTTGCCTATAAGTTATGATCCCTGGCAGCTCTGATTAAACATGTTTGTAAAAATGGTTTGTACCTTTTGGAAAGGGCAAAAATACAAACAAAAACGAGGTTTAGTTTATGTACATTGATTCTTGCAGTCAAACACAACAAAAGATAAAATACAAAATAAATGTTTGACAACGCAATACTGAGTCTTCATGTGTCTTTCCACAGCTAGTACCTTACTATTACAGTGAAGATTTAAGAATAGGCCAAAGACAAATAAGTTTTGTGTTAAAAAGTGACACGTTTTCTCACGGTTACAACTTTTGTAACCCTTTTGACCTCAACAGAATGTGTATTCCATCCATAACAGAGCCAAAATATAATATATTTTAATAACTTAAATGGTTTCTTGTCACATGACGACAAAATGGTTTCTCTGTGTTGCCTAAACTAAACAACACTGATAGATGTATTCCATAGATTTTTAATTATTTTAAACAATATTGCTTCACTTCCTTTCAATATGTTATAATATGAAATTATATAATGTTAAAATTATGTATAAAAAATAGGAGTATACAGCAAATACTGTATTTTAAAGTTTACAATATGTTAGTATTTCATCATAAACGCCCTATTTCTGCTATGCAAACACTACTGCATTACTAAAGTTTCACCATTAGATGGTAGCAAGCGCCTTCTACAGCTATAAAGTACATCTTACCAGTGCAGTCATGCTAAAAACTCCTTTTAGATACTGAATATAATGTAATGTATGTTTGTTATACTTTGGCATAACTCTAAAATGTAATAAGTTATACATTGCTTATTGTGAGAGCAATCTCTATAAATGATTTTTTTTTTTTTAAACACCTTCCTTCTAATCATGAACTGCAAAAAAACAAACAAAAAATCATTAATAATCTTTTGAGAGTGATTTCGAAAATTATAATTCATGTGAAATGACCTGTTTGTTTTCATAGCAACATGGGCCCATACAGAGTTAAATGCTCTATCCATGAGCTTTGTGAGTTTATGTGTTTGTGCACATGAAGCTGAAGCTGTGGGAACTGAAGCCCACTGCAGACTGCTGAACAAGGTGACCTCTCTCTGGCAGACAGACAGGAGGCCACTAGAGGACGGGATGCTAAATTTATCACGTCTGCGTTGCTATGAGACGCTGAGCTGAAAGGTGGACTCCTTTCGTAATGTCAGGTAACAGCACAAGGCTTGGCAAGATTACAATGATCCTGACTCATAGATGTGATATGAATCCATGAAAACCAGCTCTCTTGTGAGTAGATAAATGTAATAGGATGTAGCTCTGTTTATTCTGGTTTATCATTATAGAAAGTACATGTAATAAAATGCTTAGGAAGACTGAGTCTAGCAACCGTGTGGACAGCATTCAGTCATAAGTAATTCACTAAATTTCTTGTGACAGGTTTTACCAGGTCCCTCAAAATAAACTTTCAAAAAAGGCAAATAAAAAAATATATATTTTAAACCATTTAAATAAAATGGTTTAAAAGAACAAAATGGAAATAAATAGTACATATACAAATAAATTGTATTAAACTATTTTATTCATCATCAAAACTTTTGATGGAATTTTATTTATGTATATAAGGGGGAGATGTATTTTTATTGTTTTCTTAGGTGATCCAGCTGGTTACCCAAGCCTTTCACAAGTTTTAATCACATTTTTGCTTGTACCTGTTCTTGTGTCAAATTGCCCTGTGTTGTGACAAAAAACAAAACTTTGTAAATGTACACATATTTTATGTCTCTAAATAATTATTTAAGGTTATAAAAAATTATGTATTATAGCCTACATAAGAACTTGGGGACATGTTTAAATTATGTATACAGTATATATTCTATCAAAATGTCATGTCAACTAATCTGTCGCTGACAAAAGTAACATTGTCGAAAAAGGACGAAGATATCCGAAGTGCTCATGCTCCGCCCCTTTTTGAGTTCGTCCGCCTGCTGATCCAGATCCACACAAACGGGCTAGAAAGCGCGAGAGAGAGTGAGCCAGGAGTGAATAATGTTTACCACTCGCTCTGTGGAATCTATCAGGAGTCGAAACTTTAGTTAGGTTTTTCCGTTTTAATTTCACCCGAAAGCTTTATTCAAACTGAAACCGATCAAAATCATCACTATTAAGGATATATCAGCGGCTGGATCGACTGAATGAAACCATGAGGAATAAAAAACACGGCGGTTGTCGCGATCTAAACTAACGTGACTATCGATCCAGCAGAGCCAAGCTTTTGAAAACGCCGAGCCAGGTACTTCGGCGCAGACTTTCAACGGTCAGTTTTTCTTGCGGGTTTACCTGTGCTTACGTGGCACCTTTTTGACCTGGAGACTTATTGTAAAAAATCCCGTTTTAGGCTTTTTATCCACTTTTATCGTGGCGATGTGATGTATTTTCCAGAGGTTTAGTAAGTTGCGTGGCCGGGACTAGTTTACTTGCGCCGGGCAGCTAATCAGCGGAATAACACGTTCTATTTTTGCGTTAATTTATCCTCATTTGCCTTGTTCACACGATAACCTTCAAATACAGCCTCGTACTGCACCCTTCAGATACTGACAGCGGGTTTCGAGACGAGCTTTCATAAGGAGGATAAGTGTCAACGCTGCTCGTGTTTTGGGGTGGTAAAATGGATGCGGGAATGGAGAAGGAGTGCAGCGCTTTGGGAGGGCTCTTCCAAATCATCATGAACGACATGAAGGTGAGTCCTTCTCAGATTAAAATAACAAACCAGATGCTTTGATTCCCCCCAACATCATGTGTGGGTTTGGAGTCTGCCTGTAAAAAGGCTCAGAATAAGTTATTTTCCAGCTGTTTTGGAGGGTTGGCAACAGTTCTGTGGTTGGCCGGTTGCTGATAGATGTGAATCCAGCCGCCCTGTGATGTGCATCCTCTTCAAATCATCAATTACATCTCTGTACGCTTATCATCTCGGATATATGAGTGCATTTACTAGTTAGAAAGACTAGTATGCATTTAGGTTATTTGTAAAACAGTCAAATTATCAGGTTATTCCAGCTTTCATGATGGATTTGTTCAAAGGGACTTCAAAGGTAATGCTGTCACACACTAACATGAAAGTACCATGGTATTAAAATGGCTAATTAGACATACACCATGGTATTTTTCTAATTATAATCATTTACAGAAAAATGTACTATGGTACTACTATATTTTGCTTTGAAGTACTATGTAAATACCATGGTACATGAATCTCAGTACTGTGGTATTTTGATGCAATGTTATTGCAAGATCTATCTGCAATGGTACAATGTCCACAAATATTGGTATTATAGCACCATTTCCAAAAATACGATATTACCATAATATCCTATTGGAGTGATGTTAAGATGGCAGAACCATGGCAAAATCATATTCACATACCAAAGTGTTTAAATGGCGCATCAGGGGACTTCAAAAACACTGGTTTATGTCCCAAATGGCATTTAAATAGGGCTAAGTATTTAAATATGTTGGTATATGACTATAGTATTCATTGTGCTATTACCAGTCAATAAATTCACACTAAAATGTGTCAGCTCAGTTTGTCATCTGTCAGAAGTTCTAGTCAACAGTCTCAGCACATGCGGTGGTAAGTTATGGTCTGATCTCTTGGTGAAGCTTCAATAACTCTCTGATGTTATGATGCCATTTTAGGCGAGCTGAAGACTTTTGAGGAACATTGTCAAACACTGGACTTTTAATGTATTGTAGAGCATTTTCATGTTTTATGTTTACAACTGTTTGTTCATCATAACTGACTAATTGTTTGCTTAGTTGAAAATGTGTTGTAGTGGTGTGTGTGTGTGTGCCTGCCCATGTGAGCAGGAGGCGTAGCGTGTGTCACATCCTGTTGTAAACATGGCTCAAATATGACTCAGACTTTATTCATGATATCAATATCTAGACAATTTCTAGTACTTAAGGTACTGTAATTCAGTAAGGTAAAGCATTTTTTTTCCTATTAGGAAGTCTGGTTTGTTTATTTATCTTACTTGTCAGTTAATGTGGTTTATTGTGTTTCAAACGCACGGACATTTTGGGCACATTACAAAATATGGTAATTAAAATATAAGAAAATATATGATAATAAATAAATTATATTATGTAGCCTATAATGCAATGGCATAACATATAAGTAAGTCTTGAGTGTCCAAATACATTTTGGGTCATGTTATATTAGGAACATAGTTTGTTGTTTGGCATTTATTGGTTCGCATCTATGATGCTTTATCAGTTCAGAAATTTTAATTGAGTAAATTTCCATGTTTTTATTTGCACTCAGTTTAGGCATACAGTAGCAAAAGTGAATGAATGGACCTGCAGTTTTTTTTTTTGTTGTTGTTTTTTTTGGCAAGGTCCAGCTATCAATTTGTATGCATGCTGTTAATGTGGAAATAGCACACTTGACTCACAGGAAGGAGGAAGTGTGCAGGATATCCCCATGATTGTGTGTGTATGTGTGTGTGTGTGTGTGCGCGTGCATGGATTTGCGTACATGTAAAGATATGATTCACAGAAAAACAGCTGCAGGGCTAAGGCTACATTTTGGCCTGTTAGTACTCAATAAATATCTCTGACCTTAGTGTGTAACTGTGTACACGGATGTCCAAGTTCATGGAGCAGAGAGTTTTAGTTAGTTTGCTTTGCAATCGAGCACTTAATGTAAGCTCTGAATCAAACAATACAAAGTGCATGGCTTAAACACTATTACTTAAATAGGCTGGACTAGCTCTTCCCAGATTCCAGATGTCAGGTATATAGGGGAATCACACTTTTACATTTCTATATTCACAGAGTACATGATAGTACATTATTTTAGATAAATTTCAACAAAGTTCAACAGTAATGCATGTAAAGTACTTTGCAGGCGGCTGCTTGCTTATGTCAAATGTCACTTGCATTGACAGCCCTCAATTTAAGCGTAGGCTGTAAAAGCCAAAAGTGCAAATATAAATTGTAGTCAGAGACAAAGTCATTGATCAGAAATAAAGTTAAGCACATATGTTTTCTTTCAGAAATAATAAAAAGTATTGATGCCTTTTGAATGTATATGTAGTTTAGCAGTGAGTGATGTGAGCTT